TAAAAATATATAGATATGAAAAAGAATTCGATTAAATTTGCATCTCAAGGATCAAGCAAACTCAAGAATAAAATCAAAGAGTTATCTAAACAATTCACAGTCATAGATAAACTAGCGGAGGGGAGTCCAAAGCAGAAATTCATTGATGAATATGGAATCTAGTTAGAAATGCCTGCCAAATACATCTTCAAAGCTTTTTTTTACTAATCTGACATGCAATATCTTGTAACAGCCTACTGCCAAATCTACCCCTCGGACCTTTAATTCTTAAACTACAGCATGATAGAAAGAAATGAAGATCCTAGAGATAATGACTTTCTAGCTTAATAAAATGATCAAAGTGATTGTCTTTGTTTCAAAGTGTATGGATTTGAGAAAGATAGATATGGTTAGAATAAAACATTGAGAAAATGTGACTAATCTTATCAAAATAAGATGTGCTTCTCAGAGGACTGTAAGCGTGTTGCTATCTACAGATTACTAGAAAATGATCAGAATCAAATCATTAAATCGCAAGCAAACACAAAAAGCTATGTCATTGATATCTTTGATTGCAGCAATATTGAATTCTTTTTGAGATCAGAAACTTTAACTAAGAATGATCCAAATCTTTTATACACTATTCATGACGATTAACTTAAAAGGGCTGCTATCTTAGAGGATTCAACTTTCGAATTCAGTAGTAATTACTAGTACCTTCATGTTATTGAATCAAGAAAAATCATTCATATTTATGATCTTTAAGGTCATGTGGATAAAATCATAAATCAGGCAAAGATCTTAGCAACACTTCCTCAAAATTTTGAAACAATATTGACGTTCACAATGAATGAAGAGATGCCTAGTGAGTCTTTAGTTGCTGCAAAGAGATCTGACTTTAGGAATATTGATATCTTTCCAATACAAATGATTTTAGATATCACTTCAAGGCAATAGGAACTTTAAAAAATCATCCTAACATAGCAAGAATATTTGAAAATTGCCTCGAAATTTCCCATTAGCTCAATTAGACTTCAAAATTTCGATATTAAAACTACAACTCTCAAATTTTCAAGTGATATGACTTAGGCTATATATTGTGATTCAAATCAAAGTACATTACTTTAGCTTGCTTAAGAGGGTATAACTTAACACTAAGTAGATATTAATCATTTAAATGGCAAGATATGCCGCCATATTGTTCATTTTGGAGACTCTGAATTTCTAGTTGCTACTGCTGATGCCTAGGATAAGTGTATTAGTATTAGACACTCTTCAGATACTAGCAAGAAAATCAAATTCTATTTCAGATTTAAAGAAGGAGTCACAGAGGTCAGAGATATCTACATTTGTGAAAACAGAGTAAGAATTCTCGTTACAAGGGATGATGAAGAGTTTATTATCTATGAATACGAAAACTTCTAGATAAAGGAGACCTTTTGGTAAAGATTTTATGAAAGCTCTAACTATATATTTGAATGGCCGTATCTTTGCTACTTGAAAGGTTAAAGGCATATAGTAGTTTAGAATGCATTTAACACTGAGGTCGCATTCTATTTGGAACTAGAAGAATTATATGACGATGGGGATCCTAAAGCATTTATATCCAATATGTTCTTATCTGATAAGTGCTTACTGTATGTTATAATTCAAACAAGCAAGGAATATCTTATTTATGAGAAAGATCTTGACAAGTGTATGCCCTATATATTTGATAGATAAAATTAGACAGGAAATTCGCCGAGTAAGAATAAGGATAATAATGTTAAATCAAGTTTAACTTTTAAAAGTAAAGAGAATACACCTATTGCCAAAATTTATAAAGATCAAATTTCAAACAAAAGTATCTATAAATTCTATGTAAGAAGTTAATCATCGAAAGATATAATCTAAACTAATGAGGATCGTATAATATTCTTTTTATGTGATTTCAAGATTTATGCATTTATGATGAAGATGTTGTGAAAATAATTGATACTGGCTACAAATTTAGAGAAGTTGGAGATAATCTTCTAGCCTATAATACTGTTGATGAAAACAAAAAGAAGACTAATGAGATTAAATATCTAAAGATAGGTCATTCCGACTGCTAAACTTATAAGGTTTTCGAAGAAACTGAAGGAAAGCTTTTAGAATTTCTTGTTTAAGTTGGAAAACTCTTAATTCTAAGCAAACCAGAATAGAGTGAACATTACTTCATTAAGATTTATGATATCAACAGTAACTACTAAAGTAAATTGCGAAGTGTGATTCCCACAACTGATTAGAATTTAATAGGAAATCTTCAAACTATCAACTATTTCTAAGGATCACTAATTCCAGCTGGAAATGAGCTCTACAAGATAGTTGAAAACGGAGGAAAAAATGCTATTCATCACTTCAAAAATGTAATTCCAATGCTACCATCATCTGGAAATCAGTTAGCGTTTTATTCTCCTCTAATGAATACAGATTATCGTAAAATGATTTATTTTGTGACCAATAAAGTTTTAATGAGAACTAAACGAGCTATTATTATCCCTTTCTTAGGAGATAACTACTCAGTTTTTAACAAAAGATAGAGTATTACATAATTTTGCTAATTTTATGAGTATAATCATCCTTAGCAAAGGCATAAGATTATCGATGTACTATGTCTAATACCATATATTAGAAAAATATTTCACTATAATCTTAAGGGATAATTAGTGTAAAGTTATCACATGAAGAATGACTTCTAAACTTATGGAGAAATGACCTTAGCATTAAGTTAAGATGGTAAGGCATTCTTACAGACTTTTGAAGAGGATGTCACGAGGTCTAACTTTTACATTCTAAAGATCTATATAAAATCTAAGGATAGTTAAGACAGTATTAGCAACTCCCCAAAGAATGCAATTGGGTAAAGTAGTATATGGCAAAAGAAGACTTTAAGAAGACTCCACACTTTTAATTTTGCTACATAATAGTCAGATTTAAAGGTCAAAATGCTTGAGCATATAAGAGCCGATTAACTTAGAGTCCATGATGAATAGTATATCAAGATTAACAAATTCTTCTTAAGTGAAATCATAAACTATTATGTATCTAAAAGCTGTGAAGTAATCTACAAAATGAATGATAATATGGACATTCTTATTGGATTTGTCTATTAATCCTACCTATAAGATCAATTAGCAAGCACTAATAAATACTTGAAAGAATTGCTACTCATAAAAAGATATGATGATGGCGATAGAGTAGTATTCAAAGTTAGGATCAATGAAAGTCAATAAAACTAGGGAAGCAAAATTACTGAGCTAGTTGGATTTAGCATCAAAGAGAAATTACTTGAAAGTCAACATAACCAAAAGTAAATAAGTGATGAAATAGAGGAATAAAATTTCTTCTAGGATATGAAACCACTAAAATAATGTAACGACTTCATTTTGACAAATGATAAAGTTATCTTGTGGTCTAAAACATAAGTATATCATGGGGATCTTAAGGTTGTTAATTCCAACTCACATTAAATAGCTCTAAAATTGGCCCAATTAGAAATAGAAAATAAAGAAGAAGCATAAATAGTTTCAGTCAATGCATACGGTCAGAACGAAGAGGATGTTAAAATGGGAAATTATTATATCTATTTGAAGATTGAGGTAGATAATAGTTACTCCTTCATTACAAAATACAATATTCTTAAGAACAAAGAATTTACATCGTTTGATTGCTCCAAATAAGCACAAATATTCTTTGATACGAAATGTGAGGGATATATTTTAGATGACGATTCTATTATTGATATAGATTAAGGTACACCTTTGTATTACTATAAAACAGGAATGGACAATTACTAGGTCTAATACTTGATTGGTGCTAAAATTGACAAAGGATCAAGATTTTGCTCTAAAAATCAACACTTTATGATTCGAAATAAATTTTACCTTCCATACAGCTATTTATCACTAATCCTAATGGATTAAAATTAGGGACTTGCTTTAAATAATGAAAGATACGATCCTGAAGCTATCTATTTCTATGAGGGATAATCAGTTTTGCATTAATATTCCAACAACTATAAGCCTTTGGAATTCATTTTGAACAAATATCAATAAACAAATCCAAAGTTGTTGAATATGATCTTTATCAAAGATAACTAGGGAAATAATGTTCTTTAAAAAGCAATATAATATGGAAACACAAGATGTGTAAAACTTATCCTCGACAAACTATCTTCTGTCTCAATGAATAACATTCATGCAGTTAAATAGAACTTTGGGGACCTGTTAGATTATAATGGCTTCGAAGAATATTTGAGACTATGTTTCTTTTAGACAATACAGATGCAAAATAAGCAAATCTTCCAAAGAAAATCAACTAAAGTAGGTCATTCATACATCATTCGGCCCCATAGTACATCATTTCTTGATGCTAAGTTTCATCAAAACTTTTAGGATACTTCCCAACCAACTAAACAAGTCGTAATTAAATCTCTTGATGCTGGGTGGATTCTAAGATCTGATGCAGGAATGGAGTTTTAGATTAAGCTGTCATAATCAGAAAATATGGAATACTTCGCTATTGAAACCATAAATTTGATTGTTAACTATTAGTGGAATATAATGAAACCTCTGCTTATAAAATGGCTTTTCATTCCATTTATTATCAACATGGTTATTTACAATGTTTTCTGCATCCATTCCTATGAAATTTAATTTGAAGATGATTATGAGAATAGTGAATTAGGTTTAAATCTTGCAACAGAGATAATCATCCTAATTTTTGCCATATAAACGATTTATATTGAGTATCGTTAGATTATATTCCATAAAAAGGAGTATATTAAATCATTTTGGAATTTACTAGATTTATCAACTGTAATTCTTGCACCATTAACGGTCATTTTGAGCTTAGCCTCAGTGGATTCAACTATTGTGAGACCATTTATGGCTGTTTGCAATTTGATTTTCTATATGAGATTTTTTTATTTCCTGAGAATTTTTGATAGCTCTTCTCATCTTGTGAGAACCATTATTGAGATCACATTTGACATTAGAAATTTCTTATTTGTATTCTTCTTAGGCATTATTGGATTCGGGACTAGTTTCTATATTCTTTCAAATAATAACTTAAAGGAAAAAGAAGGAGCGGTTTTCATTGAAAGCTTTTGGGAATCATTTATTTTTTCTTATAGAATGGCTCTTGGTGATTTCCAATTAGATGATTTTCCAAAGGCTACTGATATATTTTTGATTTACACCCTATTCGTTATCTGCTCATTATTTAGTGCTGTTATTTTACTAAACATGCTTGTGGCAATTATGGGAGATTCTTTTAACAGAGTAAATGAGACATCCGAAAATCAAATAGTAAGAGAGCATTTGTAACTTATTGTAGAGAACGATTTCTTATTTGATAGAAAGAAAGAGTTCTCTAATGTGAAGTATTTGATAGAAATTAAGGATGATATTGAAGAAGATGATAAAGATATCATGCATCAAAAGATTGATAAACTTCAATAGACTGTATCAAAAACAGGAGAGAAGACTGAAAACCAAATTTAAGAGATAAAGGATATTTTAAAGAGTAATGATCTTAAATTCTAGCAGCTTAAAAACCTAATGACTAAAATTGCTTTTGCTTAGAAGTCTTATTCAATTGATGATTCTAGTGAGGCATTTCATTAAGTTTAAACCTCAAACTTGAAAGAAAGTTATTCATCTGCTTCAATCAGTCATACCAAATGATATAATAACTTTGATCTTTATGTTTTAATCTTTAGAGCAATTCTTTTTTAATTCTTCTTATTCATGCTTTATGGGGTTTTGGGGTTTTGGGG